GTCCCCACGCTCTGTGCCTCCAGGGCTTAGGGTCCTAGAGGCTCAGGGGACTGAGGTTCAAGGACTCAGGAATGGAGGGGTCAGTTGGCCAGTTACGGTTCCCGGGCATTGTTTGAGCTGCCCACTCGAGGGCCGAACGAGCTGAGTGGCTCAACACACAGGGCAGGGGAGAGGCGGACAGTGCAGAGCTGCTGACCGCCCCCAGCCCTCCCCACGGCCCGCCCCGGACAGCCCTCCGCCCCCGACTCCCCCGCCGCCGCCCGCTCCCGCCCCGGGCCGCGCCCCAGAAGCGCCTAGTCCCCGGTCCACCGCCCCCAGCCCTCCTCCTCTCCCCTCGCTCACCTCACTCCCGGCGAGGCCCCCCAAGCCCCTCACCTTCCCGCACATGCGCACAGAGCTCACCGGACTCCATGCCCCGGCAGGCTTTGCGCCAACTCACCCGGCTCCCCCTTCCCCTCAACACCCACACCCGGAGTTGCCCGTTCCGCCCAACAACTCCCCTCCTCTAGGGCCGCTCTGGGACTACGCTTCCCAGGGGGCATCGCGCCAAAGGCGGCTGCCCATTGGTCCTCGCTGCGCCCCGCGTCTTCACCAGCGCTAGAACTACATTTCCCAAGATGCATCGGAGCTCGGCCTGCGCCCAATAGATTACTGCGAACGCACACTGAGCGAAGCGGTCTTCGGACTACGTTTCCCCGAATTCATGCGGGGGCTTCCTATTGGCCAGCGCGCCAGCCTCGAGAGAAGAGGCGGAGCCATGGCGGCGGCATCGCGGAGACCGGGGAGGCTGGCACTTCCCCTCACTCCGGAGAAGCGCCTCCGGGACCCTGGAGCCTCGGCGAGGAGGAGGCGAGTCCAGCCCGGGCTCTCCGCCGGCCGGCAGTGCGGCGCGCATCTTCCCGGCGGCCGGTCGCAGTTGCGCGCTCCCGGTCCGGCGGGGCCGAGCTGAGCTGGGCGGAGGCCGGTGCGGGGTCCGCACGCGAGCGAGTCCCGCGAGCACCCGCCAGCCCTGCTCTGGCTCCGTCTCCACTCTCTCCGTGACCTGGGGACAGTACTGCCTCGTGGCCGCCATGGGCCCCGGTCGAAGAGGCCGCTGTCCCTTCCCAGGCCTCAGTTTCCCCCGTCTCAAAATGGGAGGGAGGCGTAGGAGCGGTTAACGCGGAATCCGGACGGCGGTTCCAGGCTGACTGAGCAAGTGGACCAGCCAGTCCTGCCGCAGCCGCCGCCTCGGGCGCAGGTTGCGAGAAGCCGCGCACCTCCAGACCTCTGAAGACCCCTGCAGGGACAGGGAGGCAGGTACCTAGCAAGCATCCGTCAGAAGGCAGCTGGTTACGTGCTCACCGAATTCGTGGATGCACAGGTGTCACGGCGGTTAACTGGCGGGCAGAGGACCTTACCCCCGGCCTACCCACCGTGGCCTACTGCCCTGCCCCACCTGTAGGCCCCCCTCTGCCTGCCTAACGTGTTGTTGTCACCCAAGCCTCTTCTGCTCCTAGAACCCCGTTATCTAATGGCCTATTTCACATCTCCACTTGGATTCCTAGGCCCCGCCCATCCCAGACTCTCCCTCGTTGCCAGCCAGGATTTCTTAAAAGGCATCTCTGACATAAAATGGGCAGTTAAGAATGTTTCACTACTTTCCTTTCCCGAGAAGAAACTGGTTTCTTTCTGCTACGCCATCTTAAACGTGTCCATCATTCATCCAAATGTTCAGGCCAAAAATGGCAGGGTGGACCTTGAGTCTCCTCTTCCACCATTCCTACACAAGCGAAGGGTGGTCTTTGAGTCTCTTTTTCCATGCCAGTCGCCCATACACATCTATTCTAACAGCAGGTCCTGTTGACTCTGCCTTCAGAATAGTCAGGACTATGATGGAATGCTATTTAGTCTTGAAATGCTATTTAGTCAGAGCTGTCCACAGCTCTCCGTCCACTGCTAACCTGGTCCAAGTTGCTTTGCCCCCTCTGAACACTGACCTGCTTGCTCTCTGGCCTCCTGCACCCACCCAGTTCCTTCTGCAGATCACAGCCAGAGGGATTTTTTTTTTTTTTTTTTTTTTTTTTAAAGAGAGAGTGAGAGAGGAGAGAGAGAGATAGAGAGAATTTTTAATATTTATTTTTTAGTTCTCGGCGGACACAACATCTTTGTTGGTATGTGGTGCTGAGGATCGAACCCAGGCCGCACGAATGCCAGGCGAGCGCGCTACCACTTGAGCCACATCCCCAGCCCTCTTTTTTCTTAATGGTAAAATATACATAGCATGAAACTTGCTTTATTGACCCATTTTTTGATTGTACCTTTTGGTGGCATTTAAGTACATTTAGATTGTTATACAAAACCATCCACCTCCAGAACTTTTTTATTTTGCAAAATTGAATCTGCATCCATTAAATAATAATTTTCTATTCACTCTCCCCAGCCTCTGGCAACCACTGTCCATTTTTGTTATTGTTGTACTGGGAATTGAGCCCAGGGCCTCACACATGGGAGGTAAGTGCCCTGCTACTGATTACACCCCCAGCCCCTAACATCATCATCATCATATTGGTTGTGTTGAGGTTGGAATTCAGGAACTCATGTATGCCTAGGCAAGTGGTCTACTGCTGAGCACTTAAGCTCCACCATCCTACTCTGTCTCTGTGGATCTGACTATTCTAGGTACCTTATATAAGTGAAATCATGAACTTTTGGTACTTTTGTGGCTGGCTTATTTCACTGAGCACAGTGTCCTCCAGGTTAATTTATGTAGCATGTGTCAGGATTTCCTTCCTTTTGAAGACTAAATAGCATTCCATCATATAGACATAACATTTTGTTTATCCACTCATCAGGGGCTCTGTTTTAGTTTTTTGTTTCCACTCCTATGGGAGGTGGGGCTCTGCCTTGTTTGCAGCCCTTCAGGGTGCACCTTTGACCCTGGTATACACAGTTCCCCACGTGATCTGAGCCCTCAGATCCAGCATCCTCTGTCCACACAGGGTCAGGCACTCCTCAGAAGCTGCAGGCCTGAGCCAGGGCACAGGGCACAGGCTTGGCAAGTGGATTGGGAGGGACGGTTCAGCCACCACCTCCAGCCTGGCCGGGTGTGTGTGGGTTGGGTCCTTGGTTCACAGAGGCCTTCAGCCCAGGACCCCTTCCCACCTCCTCACTGTGCACTGTGCGTCAGCACACTGGCCACTTTGTGTTCCTCTAACACTTTGTGTTCTCCAAGTCCAGTCCCCAAGCCAGCTGCACAGCAACACCTGGGATGCAAATTTTGGGCCCCTACCTCTGGTTTACTGAATCAGAAGCTGCTGGTGGGCCTGATGGCTTGTTTCCAGGAGCCTGAGGGTTGGGGTTCTGGTGCATGCTGGTGGGCCCCATATGTCCTACCTGCAGGCTAGAGGAACTACCACTTCGTCGTGTTCTTGTGCAGAGTACCTAGGACTTTCAGGTGGAGCAAAGATCCTAAAAACACCTTCGATTCTTGCTTTATCTACACTAAAGTTCTGTACCCAAGCCAGAGCAATTGAACGCCCACTCCCCGCCCCCTGAATGTGGCAAAACCAGCCAATTCCACCCCAGAATGTTGTCTCCCCTTCATTCAGTTCACATGGATTGGTCACCTTCTGTGAGACACTGTGCAGTCTTGGAGGACAAGGGGTGGAAGAGGCAAACGGAATCTGTGCTCCCCCCAAGTTGAGGGCATACATGGGAGGAACATGTGAGAGCTGGACTTGAAACTCCACCTAACACCCCCCAAATGTGAGACCTGGGCCACTCACCAGTGCTCCATTGAGATGGAGATACAGGACTGCTCAGAGTTGGGGTGGGGGTTAGTAAGGGCCGGGTCTTTACTGGCCTAAGCCAATCAAGACCTTCCCCTCCTTGCCAGTTATTGGTGGAGGCCCAGGTGTCTGACTGGAGAGATATGGGGGCTGTTTTGCCCCCACCCAGCGGTGGGAGAACTTGCAGAATGGTTTTCCCAGCTCTCAAGAGGCGAGAGGAGGAAACAGTTGTCCTGCAGCCTCATCCTGTCTGTGGGTGATGCTTTAAACTCTGGCAACTGTCTGGGTGTCATGAGGATGATGGTTGGAGCTCCCAACTAGGACAGGCAGGAGGGGAGAAGGAAGAGCTGGGTCCTTCATGACGCAGTCAACAGCTAAATTAACCAGCCGAGGCTGGAGCTCCTTCATCCCCTCCCCTTGACACCAAGCAAGTCTCCTCAAGCCACACTGGGATATCTCTTCTTGAAACTGGAAGTGTCAGCCAGTCACATATCTGGGGCAGGCTTCTTGGGGTTGCACCCTGCACACCATGTGATGCCCTGAAGTTGGTCTTGGGGTTCTTGATCAGCAGGGGAGTCTGCACTGGGCCCTGCTCCTGTGCATGTCTGTGCAGTGTCTGAACTCCACATTCTGGCCAGGTGTCCTTAGTTCAGGTTCCTGGATAGGAGGGCCTGATCTCATTTACCTGGGCAGATATCTTTACCTCATATAACTTGTGATGTACCCTGAGTGCACTATAGACACTGGCAGGG